AGAAAAAAGGAGCAAAATGCACTTGCATTTTATAATTTTCGGATTTATATCTTATATTTAATTAAAGGTAGGGGTAGTGCCAAAAGAAGGAAAATTAGGCATGGTGGAAAGTGGGAAATTAGGCATTCTATAGATTCATGAACTCACGCCACCAAGCCCTGGCGATAGCGATGTCTATCCTTCTGTGGGTATGGTGGATATAAAACAATGATTTAGTTTAATTTGATGAAAAATGATATCGTAGCTGATTAATACCAACTTGCAAATATAAGTTGTATGTGGATTGAAGATCAATAGTGGGAGCGTGAAGAGAGTTCGATCTAATGGTATTATTGTTGGGTTCAACATGAAAATCTTAGAATTTTAGGGTGGACTGTAAGTGAATGGTTTTAGAATTCTCAAATCTCTGCATACTTTAAATTTGGGTTCAAATTGATCGAATATGATTAGCATCATTGGCATCGAGTGGTATAAGATTTAGTATTGAATCTCTCTCAATAATTCGAATTATTGGGATAAATTGATTCTTGACATGATATTAGAACCTTTTGTGGCTCATATGTCTCGTGTTTAAATCCCAGTGACCCCTTATTTGTGAAACACAAGATATTTTCGTAGTCATAATCTGTGCAAACGAAAGCCTTTATGAGTTGATTGACTTTCGTGTGAGGAAGTGTTTTAGTGAGTGGTATATGATCCATTATTGAAACTCTCGCAATAGCTTGAGTCATTGGGACCAACTGGTTTTTGGCGAAAATTCGAACAACAATCTTTGACTAACATAATCACGGGTTCTCGTAAAGAAAAAGAAAAGAAAACAACATAACAGAGAATCACTCCAGCCCAATAATATAAAATCTATTATTCAAGGAAAAAAGTATTATAAAATCCATTAGAAAACTATTTAATGGGCCAATAACTATGAACATCAGTACATAACAGAGAATCACTCTGGCCCAATGATTATAAAAAGGAAGGAAAGCGGTATAAATAAATTAACATAGCAAAGGACAGGAAACACTCTGTTTGCCAATGGATTATTAGTTGGAGGCAGTTGATCGATACTCTTGTCTTGTAAGTTGTAACTGTGCATATAACCATATTTAGCTCAACTAATATGCTCGTAAGTCATAACCACATGTACTTTCGTTTATATAAATAAAAATATGTTACAATACAAAATGAATTTGTACTCTTAATTTTGGATGCAAATTTATTGTATCTATATTTTCGTATAAATTTTTTTATGATACAAAGTGAATTTATATGTTTAATATTGTGGTACAAATTTAGTTTGTACCTACATCTTCATACAAATTTCTTTCATTGAATTTATAGCTTCAACTTACAAATTTGTACCTGTAAGCATCGATTTTTATGAACATTGTAAACTTCCTCATAACAATATAATCATTTGGTAATAATAATAATGTAGTAGTGATAATAGTAACCTGATTGTTGTCCATATAAATTTTAATTGGAAATATCATATTAAACCAAGTACAATGAGTTAAAAAAAACCCATTGTACACATGACATTTTTATTAAAAAGTGAAACACGCAATAACAGATATCAAATCGTTGTAGACGGTAATTCGCAACACACAAAATTAATCCACAATCACCATAAGCATACCCATAAATATGTTGATCATCGAACGTCAATATAATAATAAGAGAAACCTACCAACCAATACCATTCAAACAATTTAGCATATAATATACACGTGTTACCAGTAACAACTAACAAAGTTTAATCACGTTAAGAACTTGAAATCGACTTGAATGATATCAGATGCGGCTTCTCAGAGCAGATACGATATTTAGCATGGAATTATAAATAGTTAATTATTAATACATAATTAAGAATTAATTAAGTTGGATGGCCATGGCTAGCTAGCTACATACTCAAGAAGAGACACTATATATAATATATTTTTTTTCACGAGTCATTAGATTATTGTTTTATTAATCAACAATCGCGGCGAAATGAACCATTAACCATAAATAAGTAGGCTGAAAAGTCGTATTGTCGGCAAAAACAATTGATGGGATGATATAAAAATTCAAATATATTGTTCTGTTCATCATAGAATCAAATTGTGGTTACTAGCAAGTGCCCTTTCTGATTATAATAAGCATATCTTTGAATGGAATCTACAGTTGTCAGCATAAGCTGTTAGTGTTTGATAAAAAAAAAACAGTTGTTGTTTTGTCGAGAAACTATGATACCTAAGACTTTGTCCCCATACAAATAATCATCGGTTTAAAATTAATTAAATAACAGTTGTTTGTCGAGAAACTATGATCAAGTACAAGAAAAAGATGCACACAACAAATAATCAAAGATTTATCTACTCGATTATTTCCCTTCTAGTCCTTACGGATTTTTCGGAAAAAAATCTAATGTAACATATTTTTTTTAATGTACAATGGATCTCGACAATCATGAATTGAGAAGTGTGATATGGTTTTTAGAAGGTAACTTAGGGATGAAATAAATCAATTTGGGAGATGAGAAGGGAATTTAGAAGAGTAAAGAATTGAGTACGGGACGAGCTAGGGAAGAATCAGAGATTCAGAAGGATTGTCGAAGATAAGTGGAATATTCTTATTATTCGACATTCTCCGACATCTCAATGGCTAGATTACACTATACAAAATACAATACAAGATTTAGGGTTATAAGAACTTGGAGGGCAAGTTGATGAAGATGATTGGCCGTTTGGTTAGTTGAGAAGTCGGCTTCCTTTCACTCATGGTAAAGGCCGGGGAGAAGGGATTAGAAGAATCGAGAAAAATGGAAGGCAAAAGACACAATCTTCTGTTTGTTTGTTTGTTTATTTATTTATTTATTTAACCATTCCCAAAATAAAGCCAAGATATTGAATAATATAATTCCCCTCTTGTCCCAGTTAGCATTTTCTATTCATGGTTTTGATTCAAAGGTTTAGGTTGCTAATTAAGAATAACAAGGGACGTTTAATTCGTTGGATTATATACAATTCGACAGTCGTGTGATGTTTGTCATATTTAATACCTTCAACCTGCCCCTACTTCCAAATTTGCAATTGGCTTCGTAGTAAATTATTATAAGTTATAACATCCCAAGTCCCAACCTTTTTCGGATTAAAATATAGCTCACTTTGAACCTGTACATATCGTTTTGTTTTTGGGTGCATTATGATAACAAAAAGTTGATAAACTTTGTGAATAACTAAAATATACTCGTTCTTTTTTCATTATTTAGGCATGAATGAAAAAAAAAAACATTGTGACATTTTCTTGTTTCTGGAGAGATCACCTATGTTTGCACTGCTCCACACGGAGCACACTTAATTTCAGGGTTCTTACAACAATTTGTTCATTTCACCCAAAACGTCTCTTTTTAGTTAAGGTTGGATGTTCCTTATGAATCATAGATTGCTCCCGAATTTTATCGATGTGTGATTTGCATTTGATAATTATGAAAAATCATGAAAGTTGACAACTAATAACAAAACACGTTTAGTTACTTATTTAGGCCCCTTTTAGTAACACCGTTAACATGTTTCTGTTTTCAATTTTCATGTTGTTATGATTGTACCCCTATTGACATTACTCTATTGCAAGTTTGCAACCACAAAGTCCACGACAATATAACTGTACTAAACAAGGTTTATCATGAAAGTTATTCACAACCAAGTTTGACTATGATTTTCTTCAGGAAGGACCCACAATTCTAATTTTATACTCTACAAACGTAATGACTAATGACCACTAGACATTAATTCATGTATACTTATTTGTATATACACATATAATTATTCTTTCAAATATTATAAACGATTCTAAAAAGAGTAATGATCAAACCTTATGAAAGTTTTTAGATATGGTTCTTAACTTCTTATGAAAGTTTTTTTACAAATAATTAGAATAATTTTTTTGTGATGGACACAATTTCCCCGTTCCTAAAACAACATCAAGTTACACGCCTCTGAGGAACTGTTTATGTTCTCCACCAACCCACCCAGCTGAACTCCATGGTTGTTTCCTCATGGTCACAGTCTAACAGACAATGGATCATGGATGTGTGGAATATCTCACTTTTATTACACATTAAATGAATTTGTTGTACTGTTATTCCAGTCCCATAGTTCTGAATTTTGATAGAAAAAAAGTTAATATTTTCGTATGGTCTGAACTTTAACCAAAATAAACATCCTGACCAATCTTTTTATCTATAACATCCTGGCCCAAACTATACATCAAAATAAACAATTTGGCCAGATCCAACTTTTGACCGTTAACTTGGAAGGTCAAACGCGTTGACCGTTAGTCAATGCGCCATGTCATTGCCAACTCAACAAGTTTCAATTAATTTTTTTAATTTACACCTATTTTCATTTTCTTTCTTTTTTTTATTGTTAAAAATTAAAAAAGGAAAATAAAAATAGGTGTAAATTAAAAAAAATTAATTGAAATTTGCTGAGTTGGCAGTGACATGGCGCGTTGACCGTTAGTCAACACGTTTGACCGTCCAAGTTAACGGTCAAAAGTCGAATCTGGCCTAATTATTTATTTTGATGTATAGTTCGGGCCAGGATGTTATAGATGGAAAAGATTGACCAGGATATTTATTTTGGTCAAAGTTCAGGCCATACAAAAATATAAAAAAAAGAAGAAAGGAAGAATCAGAATCCAAGAGAAGTGAAGGGTCAACGTGGGTGGTAAAGTTTGGATGTGGGGAAAAGTAAAGGGAGCGTGATGAGATCCCTATTTCAACAAACACAAAAATGAGTATCAGTAATTCAGTAGGTAGCTACCACTCAAGATAGGGAAGTAAAAGATATTCCACATGCTTCTTTCTTGGTGTAAAGTTGACATCACACCTACCCTTCTTCTATTTTCTCCTTTCCTTTGGTCTATTTTCTGGGCCCATTTCTGCATAAGGAAGCCAAATATATGGCTTAATTGCAAGTTTGGTCACTCGAATTGCTATAAAATTTCACGTTTGCCATTCAAATTGATTTATTTCATTTATAGTCACTCGAATTAGTTGAACAGTCCAAGTTTGGTCACTCTCCGTTAACCTCTGTTAGACTCCGTTAATGACGACTGTTAAGTGATGACATGGCTAACAGAAAATCACAGTCAGCATATTTTAACACTAAAAAATGATGACCCGACCCGCCACGTCACATTTACCCGCCATGTCATGCCCAAACCGCGAACCATCCCAATTAATTGACCCCAACCCAATTAGAAGTCACAGAACCCATTGTGGTGCGGGGTTGATTAACCCTAACCAAAGATCTAAGAGAAAGCCGTTGATTCCGATGGGTTCAGTAATTCTACCTTGAGATGGCAATTAGAGAGCTTAACAAAAATAGAACCCGCTCTATCCCCTGCACTTAATAACAACCACGAGATTTAGCAAGAAAATAAGGAATCTGACAGAGAGGAGGAAGGACGGGTAGCAGGTGGCCGGCGACATACATGATTTGGCGAATTTGAAATGGTTGGCAGATTTAGCGTACAACTCAGCGACATCTTTGCTTGGACCCAAATACGCTCCAGCCGCTGATCTTCTTCTCAGCCTTCCTCTCGAATTCTTCTCCCTTTGCTATTTGATCGCCAATGTCCTTCACCGAAGCGTTGGCCGGATTTCTGAACGATCTCCCTCTTAGTGGAGACCGGAACGACGGTACGCGGGTTGGGCTAATTGGGTTTCGTTTTTGGGTTTGGGTCAATTAATTGAGTTGGTTCGCGAGTTGGGCAAGAAGAGCTGACATGGCGGGTAAATGTGACGTGGCGGGTCGGGTCGTCATTTTTTAGTGTTAAAATATGCTGACTGTGATTTTCTGTTAGCCACGTCATCACTTAACGGTCGTCATTAACGGAGTCTAATGAAGGTTAACGGAGAGTGACCGAATTTGGACTGTTCAACTAATTTGAGTGACTATAAATGAAATAAATCAATTTAAGTGGCAAACGTGAAATTTTATACCAATTCGAGTGACCAAACTTGCAATTAAGCCCCAAATATATAAATAACTTTCTTCTTCTTCTTCCATCTGGGATCTGGCCCATCCAGGCAAACCTGTTCCATTTCTACTGTGACTGTCAGTCGTCTCTGCTCTGCTGCTATATTAGTACTGTACAGTGTGCACAGTTGCCTGTCCAAGAAACTCATTTTGTGAAACTCATTTATTCCCTGTATGATCACTAATGAGATAGGCTAATCCAGTTTGTCTGGAGGAGTCTGTTTTAGAAATCATCATAGAGATTCCTCTGCAGGTGCGGATTGGATCACGAGGACCAATTTGCTATTCTGAGACTCGAGGCCCATTCGTTTGCTTCTTCAAGGCCGAGGCGAGGATAATCAATGCCAAAGTAGGGGACAGGAGGTGGAATAAAGGAAAAACGAACAGCATTGCACACAGCAAGAACCAAGGAGCCGAGAGTGATGCATTTCTTCTCCCCAGGAACTCAAATGGGATTGTGTTAATACAAATGAGGAGGGGAACACAGGGTGAAGTCAGAAACCACCTGAAATGGTGAAGGAAGGGAGGACACATTCTTTATCGGGTTCACAAAACTGGGAGCACCAAGCTCGAAAAGCTAGTTTGATGATGGCACTGACGGCATACGAGTAGAAAGTCCGGTGGAAGCCATGCCATGGCTTTGCTTCCAAGAGAGCTGTTAGGGAAGGTGTGCCGAATGGAGCTCCTGGTGAGAGAGAAAGGGCGGGTTGGTTGGTCATAGTTCTGTGTCGAAGACACGAACCATCAAGTTGGACACCATTGTTCGAGCGAAAGGAATGTAGCTCAAACTGTACCTGAAACACCACAAGGCCACACTTTGAATAAGCATCCTGCTTACTTTCTATACAAACACAAAACGCAGAAGCTTCATTCAAGTCTATGCAATCCCCTTCATTATTCCACTCGCAAGGGAAAAGCAAACTTACCAAATTAGGGCACATATTTCACATAGTATAGCAATCAGTGTCAAAATCTTGTTGTGGATCTGCATTGTTAAACAAGGAGAGAAACTTAAGGTGGGTTCGGTGTTTGATTAAACGTTGCAGGCAGATTCAATGTTTCAGGTGAGCAGGTAATGTGAACTTACCAAAAGAGCGCAGATAAGTGATACAACGACGAATCCAAGGTATATGGAAGTTGCATATACACGGGTGGAGTCAAACATCATGGTCAGTTGCTGCCCAGTTCCAATGAGAAAGGCTGTGCTGTCAAACAATGGAAACACAATACACATTTAGCTTTTTTTGATTTCTTCACCTATTGAAAAGAGTTCAACATGCAGACATACCTTCCAACAGCAAATATGTTGCCGAAAGTGAACAACAAGGCGAACTTGATGGGTTTCACAAAGACAATCAATGACTGCAACATAGTACCATATAGAAAAAAAAGCCATTAGCAGGTCGAACTTCTGCCTAGAAAGATTATGTTTGCATCTTCCTCATGGTTAGTTGGATGTGTGAAAACTCCTCATAGAGAAATTTGACATTGACACAATTCATGAGTAAAAATTGAAAGCATAGAAGGGCATTGACACAGTTCATTCTTATTGCTTAACAAACCCCAAATCATGGCAGGAGTTACTTGCAGAGAGCAGATGACTACCCTCTATCCCAGTTGGAATTAGAAACCCCTAAGTTCCAAATTTACTTGCCAATTGCCATGAACCCATAAAAATCCAGTTTTTATTTATTTACAAATGGGCTGAAATCCAAAAGAATGGTGGCAGGATTGGTTACCAGAAACATGAAAGCCAGACCAGCAGCCAGGCAAGCCGCGAATGCGTACATTCTCTGCACCAATAGAGAACCCCATAAGCAGCTCGCAGTGATATCGATCCTCGAATCAATTGGATCGATCGAGGAACAGAACCGATGGAATTATACAGCGAAGAGGAGCAGAGAGGAAGAAAGAAAACCTGTGTTGCAGTGAGGGAACAAGACCCATCTGAATCTTCCTCCAAGAAGCTCTCTCCCCTATCGCCATCCTCATCCCCTGCTATGAACTGCTTCAATTTCCTCATCTTTCTCAGTTCCTGCTTGCTCTGCGAGCTCCTTTTCCTCTCAGTCGATCAGAAAAACCAGAAGGCAAATCTTGCTGAGTGGAGGGGGACGCGCACTTTCTCTGTCATCTGTCAACTCTAGTTTCGCGTTAGATAATTGCTTAGTAGTACCTGAACTTTAACTCGTTTACAATTCCAACCAGTAAACTTAAAAGCGTATAGCATTCGTTATTCGCAATACCACACCGTTTTGTGCCATCTCCGTTAAATTGGAAACGGAATCGGAAAGGGAAACAATTATCTGATTCTTCGTCGGTCCCCGGAGCCGATTCACTATTTCGACTGCGGGTAGAAGTGCTCCGCAGCGAGAGAACCCTAACATCCATTGATATTAGCTCCGGAGAAGGAGAGCTAGCTGGTCGACGGCGAACTTCTGCTCAGCAAAGAAGAGGACGCCGGCCGGAGTGAAGCAGGCAAGATGTCTTCGACTCTGCTGGAGACGACTCGGGCGTCGCACGAGGAAGTAGAGCGGCTGGAGCGGCTGATAGTGAAGGAGTTTCAGAACGATCTTACTTCCAGCAAGGACCGTCTCCTGCAGAGCCACCGCGTTCGTAACATGATCGATACGATTGCCTCTACCAGTCATAAACTGGTAATGCCCCTCGTTCTCTTCCCGAATTTCGACTTTCTTTGGAGAAAACGCTGAAGATTAGGTTAATTGAATGTAGTGCTTATGGCTGGTTCAGGTTGATATTTACGAAGATAAGGATCACGCTAGGAAGGACGAGATTGCTGCCCTGGGGGGCCAGACGGCTAGTGGAACGAATGTGTTTAGTGCATTTTATGATAGACTGAAAGAGGTAATGTACTGAACCGTCTGCTTTCTTAACTTGGATTAAGAACATAGTTTAGGTTTTATTATCTAGATTGATGATGACATGTTGATACTCGAATTGCGGTGGAAGCTCGGAATTGAAGGCTAATGAATCTTATTGTTTGAAATTGTCTGGTTGTTAGATTCGTGAATACCATAGAAGGCATCCGGCAGCCCGTGTTGTGGATGTTGAGGAGCAGTACGAGGCACTGTTGAAAGAAGAACCTGTCATTGAGTTTACTGGCGAGGTAACTCTCTCTTTCTCTCTCTCTCTCTTCCCACTTCCATACCTTATGCTAGAAAAAAAGGGCATGATGCCTTACTTTGAATTGTATGTACTAGTTAGCCTTATTTCGAGCTATTGTTACATGACCGTCTTTCCTGTCCTTTAGCTTCATCCCTACTTCATTTAGGTTTCAGTTCGTACCACAGTAAGGTTTTGAGTTGAGCATTCAGTGTGTCTTTATTAGGCCAAGTTGCTGACCCTTTTTAGGCATTGAATTGTTGTGAATCAGTACCTGTATATTAGGGTCCATAGAGTGTTCAGGACAAGGAGTCTTCTGGTTGCGAACCTTAGCAGTCAGAATGTTTGGCTATGATAATGTCAATTGTCCATCTGTTTCATTATAATAGGTTAACATCTGGTTTCTCTTAAAGTTTTCGGTTGTTTATTTTGATTTTGGCTCTCATTTGCACTTTGGGTTATCAAAATTCACATTTCAGGAAGCCCATGGGAAATATCTTGACTTGCATGAACTATACAACCAGTACATCAATGCAAAGTTTGGGATGCCCCGTAGTGGTAAAAAAGAATCCGAGGACTCGCACATTGAGTACTCAACTTATCTCAATCTTTTCAGTCAACCACAGAAAATCGACCGGAAACTCAAGTTGACCAGGTAATTTCTCTTTGGTTCTCGTTATCTGATTGTGTCTACATGGCCAATTAACTGTTATGGCCAGCTCAATCGACGTGTGTAGTGTTGATTCGTATTTGCAGGCAATACAGGGAATACACACAGAATCTGTTGGAGTATTTGGTCTATTTTTTCCAACGTACAGAACCATTGCAAGATCTTGATAAAATCTTCTCAAAGGTGTGGTAGAAATATTCTGCAATGTGTAGTCTTGAGTTTGGGTGTGCCGGTGTGGTGATACTGCTGTTTTGATATATGCAAGCTGCTCAATTCATAATCGTACATAGTTCTGTTATTGACGGCTATTGTACTTTGCATATGCATTATAGTTCCTGTAGTTGATTGATGCTAAAGCTGTGAGATTTGGTTACTACTTACTAGAAAATATATTTGATAAAACTATTTCTGGATCTTGATAGAATCTCTTCAAAGGTCTTTGTAGACATGTCTGCAGTTGATTTTGGGTGGTCATACTGCTGTTTTAGTGACATGCACTTGCACTTCTACTTTCCACACATATATACATTAAGGGACATATGATGAAGAAAGAAAGTTAAAATTCTGTCTTTCTAGATGAAATGTTTCTGTGTGTGTGCTCTGACCACTCTATTGAGGATTTAGAGACATCTGCTTAAACTAGGTGGTTACTTTGATTTCTTCATGATATTGACTCGGTCTCTTCAGTCCCACACTTCTCTAACATTCTACTGTCTTGAACAGGTTGTAACTGAATTTGAAGAGCAGTGGAAAGATGGCAAGGTGACTGGATGGGGTGGAGGTCAGGATACTGGCCCTGTTCCAGCTCAAGACACGTCAATTGATCTTGATTATTACACCACAGTAGAAGAGCTGATGCAAGTGGGTCTTGAAAAATTGAAGGAAGTAAGTATGTTCTTTTTGCTTCTATGGTTGCTTTTCCTAGGTTGTGGTTTGCTGATTGCTCTTCTTTTGGTAGGGAATATATGCTTTTGGGAGGGGTTCTCTTGCATTTAGTACACCAAATAACAATATGACATGGTACTATTAATTGTCAGTACCATTAATTAGCTGGTTCTGATTCTGCATTCTTGATGCAATGGGGCCTTTAAATTAGAAAAGGCAAATAAGAAGAGGACAAATGAATGCTTCCAGACAACAACAGTTGCTAACTTGCTTATAGCCTACTTCTTTCTTATTTTTGTTTTAGGTGTCTTACTTCTGTGAATGTCGAAACTTCGGATTTTCGTTGATACTTGCTTGATATATTTTCATTTGTCAGGCATTGGCTTCATTGGGATTAAAGACTGGAGGTACTCTTCAGCAACGTGCAGAAAGACTTTTCCTCACGAAGGTTGCTTTCTTACAATTGCGTTGCATTTGCTTACTTTTATCCCTGATAACTATAACCAAGGTTTTCCCCCCCTAAGCAAGTCATATGCTGTAGCTGACAGTTCTTATACGTCCTATTTTATCATTTGCAGCATATTCCTCTGGAAAAATTGGAGAAGAAGCATTTTGCCAAAGGTTCACGAGTCCCAGTACAGAATGGAGCTGCTGCTTTGAAGGAGAACATCAATTCAAAGGAAGTTGCCTTGATGGAGGCCAAAATCATCAAACTGTGTACCTTATTGAGTGAGGTATGTCTCTATTGCACAGTACCTGTTTTCTTCATGCATAGGTACTGAATTTTGAAGCCTGCAAATTGCACAGTACCTTGCATTTTGCCGAAGCTCAAAGTACTTTTCCCCCTTCTTCTGGATGGCAATGTGTAATTGTGATTCTTTCATGAACCTTTTCAGACAATCGAAAGGACAAAAGAGAATGTTGAGAAGAAGCAGGCTTTGACATACGAGGAAATGGAATCAGAACGTCAGGAGGTAAAGCTCCATTATCACTACTACTATCACTATCCTTCCTTGGAATCCTGTTATTCTTTCTTTTCCTTGAGGTTTTTCCTGTTCTTTGCTTTGTCATACGTCTTGTAGTTGCAAGCTGACTGATGGTTAACTGTTGTTGTGGCAGGAGGAGATGCAAGCAGAAAGTGAAAGTGACGATGATGACCAACAAATTTACAACCCTCTCAAGTTGCCCATGGGCTGGGATGGAAAGCCCATACCATACTGGCTGTATAAGCTTCACGGTCTCGGCCAGGTACTTGCTTAGCTTATGAACTAATGAATTGTGGCACAATTAAGCATATTCGTCTGCTTTTTAGCTGCTATGCTCAACTTGCTTATAACCTACTAGCATCATATTATGACCGTATATTATATAATGGTAGACCTGTTCGTTTCTGGTTTTGATGGATGCGCCGATTGATTTTGGGTTATAAATCTCATCCGCTAATTTCCTTTCGCCTCTTTAGGAATTTAAGTGTGAGATCTGTGGTAACTACAGTTACTGGGGCCGTAGAGCTTATGAGCGCCACTTCAAGGAGTTTAGGCATCAACACGGGATGCGTTGCCTAAACATTCCAAACACCAAGAACTTCAACGAGATCACATCCATCGAAGTAAGCTCCCTTTGAATTTCCCTGCAAAATGCTTCGAAAAGATCTTCCCTTTTGTGCAGAAGTCTAAAACATCTCCTTTCTGGACGCAGGAAGCGAAGGAGTTATGGAAAAGGATTCAAGAGCGACAAGGAATCAACAAGTGGCGTCCGGATCTTGAAGAAGAGTACGAAGACAAGGAAGGCAACATCTATAACAAGAAGACCTTCACCGATCTGCAGCGTCAGGGTTTGATCTGAGTCTAACTATGCCTTGCCTGTGGAAGAAACTTGGCTGTGCTGCTCTTCCTTCTATTGTACCAACTTTTGCCTTCTCATTGTTGTTTGTTAACCACCTCAGCCAACCATTTTGTAATGATCTCTTGTTAGCTACAGCTGTAGAATTTCTTGTGTATTTCTGAAATCCAAGTTTTGGTATAAGACTTGCCTTAAAAAGAAAAGAAAAAAGTTTGGCAAGAGATTCAATTTTGTTCTCTTCTTTCTTCAATTTGGTAATATCTACTGTCTATGCTTATTGTGTTCAGAAGTAGGGTGTAGGTTTGACCTAATCTGTCCTGACTGGTTTCGACCCTGAGGGTCGGGCTATGTTTGTTTGTGTGTAGGGTCAGTTTAAGATCGGATAATCTTTTGGCCTTGTAAGGGTCCGGTGGGGTCGAGTCAACTTAGGAGATAGAATCACATTTTGACCTTGTGACCCAGACGAAGAGCTTGCCTCACAGGATTTTGGCGATGGGCTGTGTTATTGTTGGTGGAGTCTTGTGGCTTTCCATTCAACATTCACTGTTTGTCATGTCATCAAAAAATTGATGGAGTTAACGGAATCTGACGGCTGGTATAGAGTGATAAAATCATGGTCTATGAAACCGTATCGGAGATCGTACCGGAAAAGTCAGCGGTAGGGTATTTTATGGTAAAACCGTGGTTTAACCGTAGTTCAACCTTTATGCCGGTAAATACCGCCAACCGATTTAGCCTCCAATTCTAATATTTCGTAGTTGAACCGTCGGTACGGTACGGTTTCATGGACACAGGATAAAATGCATAATAGCGATCAATAACCTCTTTCGTATTATCCGTACGCCTTGCTGCCCCATATTCATTGGAGCGCACACGCCAGCCCAGTCTCCAGCGGGAAACCTGAACAGAAACGTAATAAGGCGGACCTGCCGCGGGTAATTTCGTCAAACCTGCTCTGCCAAATTTCTCCTTTTTACCTCCCAAAGTCGCCGTGTGCAGTCGCGGAGTTTTAAGTTTAACACACACAAAACCAGAGATAAACGGGCCAAAACAAACTCCACCTGTTTTTTTCCCTCAACTCCCTCCCTCCACTCTGCGCCTCCCTTTTCTTTCTCTTCCCAAACTCAATTTCTCTTTCTGTACTCGATCTCTCTCTCTCTTCCTACTTTCCATCCCGCCATCCCTCCGCTCCCCGGCGATCTACGCCCTTCCTCCGCCGCCGCTGACATTGCCGCCGGCTAGGGTTTCGGTGTCTACTGATATTCATTCGTGTTCGTCGTATGCTCGTCGGCCTTGCAGTTAGGGTTTCGGTTTCGGGAGGTTTCCAGAATCGGAGCTCTCATAACTGTCAGATTCGGTCAGTGGTTGGGAGGACGATAGTGAATTAGGTTTACGGGATTGATATCAGGAGAACTACGGGGAAGTTGAGTTGGCGATTAGGTTAATTTTTATTGGAGTACTGGATTTGGAATCGGGGAGAGAGAGTCGAGTTCGAGTGTTCCGCGATGCCGAGGAGTTCGCGGCACAAGTCGAGCAAGCACAGTTCGAAGGATGCGAAGGAGAGGGACTACTCGGATTCGGAGAAGGATGCGAGTTTGAAGGAGCGGAAGTCGAAGGAGGAGAGCGGTTCCTCTAGGGTTTTGAAGGAGTCCGGGGAGAAGCGGAAATTGGATTCGAAGGAGAATAAGGATGGTGTTGGCTCTGGCAACGGGGAGTACGTGGTGGAATATTCTTCTTCCTCGAAGCGACGGAAGGACAGGGCGGAGGACGGTGGGAGCGATAGGTGGAATGGCGGGGAGGATGGTAAGGGGGAAGTGTCCAAGAAGTCGAAGGAGAAGTTGAGTGAATCGAAGAGCAGCAAGCGGCGGGAAGGGAGTTTGAAGAGAGATGACGGTGGTGGTGAGAACGAAGAGGTTGTTGGGAGAAGGAGCAGCGGGAAGAGTGAAGGGAAGCATAAGGAGTCGAGTAGCAGAAAGGATGGGGCTGATAGGGACAAGGATAGAGAAAGGGATAGGGATAGGGAAAGGGAGAGAGATAGGGATAGGAGGGGTAAAGAATCAAGGAGCGAGAAGTTGATCGATGGTGAGGACTTGCGTTCTGGAAAGCAGGTCTCTGAAAAAACTGGTAAGGTAACTAGTTGAATAATGAATAGTCTGTTGTATGCTTGATTATGTAGATTGTTGGTTGTGTATTGTATAATGATTCAGTTTCAATGATTTGGTGATGCTCTTTTAGGTTATTGGTTGTGTATTTGGTAATGATTCAGTGTAAATGATTTGGTGATGCTGTTTTAGGTTATTGGTTGTGTATTTTGTAATGATTCAATTGTCAATGATTTGGTGATGCTCTAGTAGGTTGTTGTCTAGTATACGTTCAATCGTAGTTGGTATGGGAAATGGCTTTTTACTTTTTGGAAGATGAAATTCCTCTTCAGTTTTATGTGTGTGCTAAAGGCGAAAGTATAATCTCTGGGCAACTCGTGTCGTGTTGCAATGTTGTTGTGTTTCCGTCAGAGAAATAGTGGTAGCTTTTGAGTTCTGTTCTTAGTGCAATGTTGCATTGACAATTGTATTTATTATATCACACGAAGTTAATTTTTCAGCCATTGAAGACTTAGTTTCTCTAAGTTTTCTCGGGTTTGCTTTTTAGTTGTGTGACTATGTGGTCGGTATCTGTAAGCCTTGTCACAAATATTTTGGCGTGAAGATGATGAAAAATAGCTGTAGATGAAACCCTTTCCTAGTTATTGGTAGCATGTCAATCTCTTAGATGCAAAGAATAGTTTGTTTGATGGCAGGCCAAACTTTTTGATAATTGTCTGATGATTTCAATTTCCTTATTGATCTGCTTTGAGCCAGCCCTTTCAATAGTTGCCTGCATAAATTCTTTTGGAATGTTTAACTGCTGATTTGTCGGTTCGCCATCCAGTCTTCATGATTATTTGTTTTCTGTGTCTTAAGTGCTGTGTTGGGGCATGTTTCTATGTGTATCGTTCTACCTTAGTATTTTAGTTAACCTGAGCTTTACCCATTTTTTTTTTCTTGCTGCAGTGCTCAAAGCTCTGGACACATTGCACGACCCAGAGCCTGAAAACATACCTGAGAAACGCACTAGGAGAAAGAGAGATGGTTCTGGTGATGGTGATAAATACCAGGATGATGTTACTAAGGATGCGAGATATAGAGATAAGAACCATGAAGGTGAAACTAGGCATCGAGATGAGAAGCAAAGAGATGACCGCGCTCCAAGAGATCATATAAATAGCAGGTCTAGTGATAAGCACTCCAGGGATGAGCAAGATGGTACAGGTTCCCGGCACAAGAAATCTAAGACTCAGGACATTGAGTGCGATCGCGATCGGGATAGTGATTATGATCGTGACTGTGAGCATGATATTGGCCGTGACCGTGGTTATGAGCGGGGAAGGGAAGGTGAGCGTCATCGCGAGCGTGTTCGTGATCGGGAAAATGATCGAGATCACGACTGGGATTGGGAACGAGATCGAGAACGTGGCAAGGATCATGAGAGGGAGAGAGATAGAGATAGAGATAGAGACCGGGATTATGATTCATTGTATGTTGATGATAGAAGAGATAGGAACAGAGAAAGCAGGTCTAGGAAGAGGTCTCCTGATGATCTTGATGATGATGTGAAATTGAGAAGTAGTAGAGGATCCTATACAGATGTGGATAATAAAATTCCCAGTGGCAGTAGGATTGAAGGAGATGCTGACAGGGGAAGGTCTCAGTCACGTCAATCACACCATGAAAATAACTTAAGTGGAAATAGGAGGAGAGCTTCTCCAGTCATCAGTTCTCAGGGTGCTGCAGATGAATATAGGTAATCAGGCAACTCAATAGTAGTTTAAGTATGTAGTCAGGCTTGGTTATCTGATTGTCTTTTCAGTTTTTTTCCGTTTTGCAAAATCCTTTTTTTCTTGGTGGAAAACTTTTTGGCTTGAATGCTTTACTTCTCATATTTCTGGTCAGAATAGTATGTGGTTGTACTCTTTGTGTTGTGTCAATCTCCACTTTAGATAATCTGATGTTTTCCTCCCCTTCATGATATTTTGTGCCATTGATTCTGTTCATGAAGTGACCATAGGATGTCATTGACTGTGTTCCTCTCTTTCACAGGTTTGCAAAAACAGAAGATGTGAGGTACAGAGATGATGGGCCAGAGTTGAGGCCCAGAGCAAATAACTCGAGAGATGGTAGTTTGTTTTCTGGAGGATCGGACAGATCTTCTAAGCTTAGATCCTCCGAGAAACCTATGAAAATGGATGATGTCCACTCGGCGGATTTTCCCTTGGAGAGGACCACTAGCTCCAAAGCATCACCGATGGGACTAGTGGAAAGATCTCCAACGTCGAATAGCCTCGATCGTAGATATATGGGCAGAAATAATGTTAGAAGGAGCCTTGAGATTGACGAGTCGGGAAGAAGGAACAGTGGATCGATGGGAGCTAGAGATGTGCCTTCTATTGAAGAAAGATCAGTTCGTGATTTGCCAATGGACAAAGAAGATTCCAGTTTAAATGGTTCTTCCTTTTACAATAGATCTAGTCAGCCCAATTCCCTTTTGAATCCTCCCCCATCATCCATCAGGGGTGGGGTTAATAGCCCTTCCTTTTTGGGTTCATTTGATGATGATGGTAGGCTCAGCACCAGCAGTGGTCGCTACAAGAGGACGGGCGATCTCAACATGGGACGAGGTCAAGTAAATGCCTGGAGGGGTGCCCCAAATTGGCCTTCACCTCTGCCTAATGGCTTCATCCCTTTTCAACATGGACCTCATCATGGGGGCTTTCCCCCTATGCTGTCTCCTTTTCCAAATCCATCTTTGTTTGGTAGACCCTCAATGGAGCTAAGCCATTCCGGTATCCCTTACCATATCACAGATGCTGACAGGTTTTCTGGTCATTTGCGCCCTCTGGGATGGCAGAACATGATGGATGGATCCGGTTCTTCTCACTTACATGGATGGGATGGCGGTAGCAATGGTATATTTAGGGATGATGGCCATATGTTTGGTGGTCCAGAATGGAACCAGAATAGGCATGCCATGAACGGTCATGGTTGGGATTCGAGTTCGGATATCTGGAAGGGACAAAACGGTGATATCACCACAGACTTGACCTCCAAGGCTTTGAAGGAGGACAACAAAGTTCAGGCTCCTGTTGATGATAACTCGGCTGTACTGGCAGCCGGTCAAAAGTTGATGAATGAGACTTCTAATAAAGATGGTTCGAAGGCAAAAGCAGTTGAAAATAAAACTCCTGCTGACTTAGCAGTCAAAGAATCTTCTAAATCTCACCTCAAGACAACTTACCACCAGAGGATTGTTGCTGACCCTCCTAAAACTTCAAGTGAAGACCATTTCAGTAATTTTATCAATGCTTATCTATCTAAGGTGGACATTTCTAGTGAACTTACTAGTTCGGATCTGTATAGTCGGTGTATGGGATTGTTGAAGGTTGAAGTCAATGCATCTGTTGATGAAGATGCTGACGTGCTGATAAATTTGAAGGTAAAATATCCGAACTCTTTAAGAGCTTCATTTTTCATTTTTTTCCTTTCATTTCCTGTATCCTCTTTATTCTTTCTAATGTCTTTAAATGTAATTATGTTGCGTGTATTTTTCCATGATAGGATGGTGCTAGAGCAGTGCCTAAAAACTCCAGTGTCTTCTTCAGTAACACGCTCTTTCCTGCTTCTAGTGACTCGATATTCAAGGTAACAATAGTGACTATCCACAGTATATCTATGCTTAGTTGGGTTTGTTGTTTGACTCTTAGGGGCTTGTTTCTTGTAGAGAGCGATGGGCATCTACACGAAACAGAGAGCAACTGGTATGCCATGTATACAAGGGGGAATAATAGATGTTATACAAGCATCATCTGAGCCGAAGGAGGAGCAGCAGCAGCATTCCATTACCCATAAAGATGGGGAGAAAGCCGAGGAACCTCTCACTTCCAACCTCGACATAGAAATGGCTGATGCACCACCGGCCTTGAATGTGGAACAAAAAGTACCTGTTGATGATGATTCACTGGTTTCTACCGAGGAGGCCAAGATGGAAGAGATCCATGCAACAACTCCTTCAGAAGAGGCGGTTCCTGTTTGTGCTGATTCCACTGCACGAAATTTAGAGTCTGTGGATGAAGAGACTCCTCGTTCTGACGTGGAGAGGAATATTCCATTGGAATGCCTTGTTGGGTTGAAGGTTGATGAAGAAGAAAGGTCGTCTGATGCTCCAATGTACGAGGGCTCGGTACCGGATAATCCCCCTCGAGGAGGTTCCCTTTTGCCTACCGATGGTCAGGAGGAGGGCGATGAAGGTAATAGCGGTAGCACAGATAAAAATGTCGAAGAAGAGAAGATGGAGGTGAGAGATGCGGAATGCTCTGCAGCCGGCGGTTCTTTAGTTTTAGTGGAAGATGATGATGGGTGTTCTTCCAGGGCAACTGAGGGATTGATGCCTGGGGGGACGAATGAGTCTGATGAGTCGGTATTATTAAGTCGGATACATCATTCTCCTGAAAGTACACATTGAGACTAATATTTCTATGATCCCATGTTTCTTTCCTTTCTCATCTCCCTCCCTTTTCCCCTTCTCCGTTTTTGTTGCTCTTTTAGCCGAGGTAATAAAACTGTTTCTTCCCTGCTGGTAAGCGGGGTGGTCTATCTTTCTGTTTCTTTTCCAGTTTTCTTTTGAGTTTTGCAGCTCGGCCGCAGCATTTCGACCTCCGGCCAGCTCCAGTTGACAGGTAAAGTATATGGTAGGCTTTACATTTTCGTGTTGTGCCTTGTTTTCTCGATAGGGTATTAAGGTCATCCGTATCTGCGCATAAGATGAGTTTTGTTAAAATGATCAATGCATCCTTAGGTTTGATAGGCAAATACTTGTTTTGGTTGATGCTCTTGGTTTTATATTTTGGGGGCAATAGGGCAAGTGAACTGCACTTTAGTTCCTTTTTTTGGGTTGATGTATGCATTATAGTGCAGACAACGATAGGGAATATGTTTGGCCTTGGGTTTTGTCACGTTTTTTGTGTCTCCACTTTTGACCCTGATCTGTTTGCACCCGTTGCCTTTTAGGGACAGGATTAAGTTAATTGGGTTCAACATAGAAGAGTAAGATTTAAGGTCCTTTGATTTGAATCGAGTGAGATGCATTTTAAGTTTTAACCAATAGGCATCAGGTTAGGGTGACAAACGAGTTTAATTTGGTAATTTGGGTCATAGGTCTCGGTTCAGTTGCACACTTGCACTGGTATTAGGGAGTCCGGGTAGTAAATGTATCGAGAAATTGTCCAGATGCAGGAATTTTTGGACTCGGTTCTCAGATAAGTGAAATGTGGCCTAATCATGGGCTAAATGCGCGGGACTAATTTGACTACATTTGGGATAAGCTCAACGTTAACCTAGTCATTTTATTTATTATTATTACTTTTTTTTTACATAAATAATGCAGTCCTTTTCATAGAATCGGCCTAGTGTGGAAATCTTTGCCCCTGGGCCTGGTCTTGAAGTCTTTGGGCCAATGGGCCTGGTCTTGAAATTGAGATGCTCATAGGCCAGGTCGTGAAGTTTTGGGCCCAACATTTTCACTGATGGCCCTATTATGTAGATATATTTGGGGCCATATGGTCAGATTAATTAGATGGTAGGCCCGTTATTGGGCCTATTGTGTAGATATTTCTGCCCATGTGGTCCGACTAATGAAATGGTAGGCCCATCTATGAACTAAGAGTGGGTCTATTGGATGGATATTTTGGCCCAGTAATGTAGACAACGGGTTAAATCTATGATTGGAATGTCTGTCCCATTGGATGATAGTTAGTAGTGTGCCTTAACTAACTACAATTGGAACTATGAGCCTGTTATACGAATTGATGTTAAGGTAACGGGATTAATGAAATGAAATTCGTGTGGTTTGTGATCGGACGAATGAAACGTTTCAAATCGGTAAAAATAAAACGTTTGGCGAGGTAAGGTGTATCGGTTGGGGTTAGCTTTTGAACTATATGATGCAATCGTAGCAGTTAGATTTACAAAAGAGCGCCCAAAGCTACATGTGGCAGCAAAACACCGATCTATAGAGAGCTTTATTATCACGCTCGACAAAAAAAAAAAAAAAAAAAAAAAAAAAAAGAATGCAGAACACCAAATAGAAAACAAGTCAAAAGCTACTATACTTCCCCTTTCCTTTTCTGGCAAAATCACAAAATCCTGTTATCCTTCCGGCAGCTGCCAATTTGGTGTGTTAGTGTGCTCCTTGCGGAGAAACAATATATCAGTTGAACTCTTCTGGTGTAGCTGTATGGTTTGATCGACCCCTAATTCATGAACTTCCTGCAGTTCGGTGATTTACACAGGCACGGGACTTTGAATTCATCCGGCTCGTCAGGGTCGAACAAGTAATCATACCTACCAAAAACAAGAGAAATTGAAAAGATTATCAATCATTCCATCCGGATTTTCTCATTTTAAGCCTATGAGAGAAAGAGAGAGAGAGAGAGAGAGAGAGAGAGAGAGAGATACGTTAATTCGTCACCAGCAGATACATTTGTCTTCGCGATGAGGACGATGCGACTTTCATCATCACCCACACTCATGATCCTTGCATAGCAATTCGGCATACACTGAATTTAATCGAAAAAAAAAACAAAATTCGAAGCCATCACCATACAGTGATCACAATGTACTACTTCATTGGCTTGGAAGAGCAGAGGTGATGCAAAAAGGGGGGGAAACAACAGGTAGCTTACTGAATGGTTAATGAGGCGTGCTATATTTCCTTTATCGGTTGCATCCACAACTACCTCTTCACTGATCTTAAATAACTGCAAACAGAAAACGAAAAGAACTCAACAACCATCTATTTCTAGAAATAGAAGGAATGAAGCAGTGCAAGCCACCAGAATGAAAGGGAACCAGAGCTAACGAGTTCACCAGAAGAATGTGCCACTATATATAAGTAAAAGAAGTGAAGAACAATAATGCAGGGACTCACATAGCAGTCTTTTCCTTCTGAACGGTAGCGTGCTTCCCTCAGATCTGCAATACTGCCCCTCACCTGTTCACCTCGATATTCAAGAACCTGGATACATCCATATAGATTTGCTCGTCATATCACGTTTGGGAATTTTCCAGTGCATCTTGATTAGACACATGCATATCTCTGTCTCCCTTCATAACAATAATGAATTACACTACCATGGCACATAAAGGTTATTCAGGTCACCAGTTCGAAGTAGAACAATAGTTACACCTAAAGACCGACAGAGGCAACATACCATTTCTCCTTCTTGAATGTTCCTCCGGGCAAAGAGGCCCCATCCATGTATACCTGATCTCCCAAAGCAGACTCTAGTGCGCTCGGTTTTCTATCATAATAATGTTCCCCAAAGAGACAGGTTAGAACTCGAAACCACTCAATGGAACTCTCCAAGCAGCAAATATGGGAGAAAAGCACATTCACTTGCCTGCAAGTGGTACAGTCGTTCCCTAAACGAAGAAAAACTTTTGGGCTCCTCTACCACCTGTCATAGATATAGAAAGACAATAATATATTTGATTACCGCTAATTTTTAATACTGAAGATGAGAGTTCACCATATCAATTTAAAACAAATCATAAGCATTACCCTTAACGCATTCAAACTCTGTATCATGGCTAAAGGATGGTGAGATACTCTTGTCAGGCGGTGAGTTACAGCTTCATCCGGTGTTCTCTAAAGAAGCAAAAAACGGGAAACATGATGAGGGAATGAATCCACAGAACCAAGGCAAAGATCCGCAAAATTAGCAGGCTAGCCTAAACTTGTAGTTTCTCAATGCATCAGTTATATGAAATGGAGCTCCAGGAAAGCAAACAAGAACAGAATAACATCAATATAGCAAAGTCTAGTTCAAGTACCTTTCGGTTGTTATTAGCTCTTTGGAAAACCCGGCACCGTGCAGCAGATAGTGGCTCAACCTCTGGCATTTCTTCCGCGGAGACTTCTTCGGGTTTTATACTACTAGACGAGATCAGCCGTGTGCCAGCCCTCTTCTTATTTTGGAGAAGACTTTTGGCAGAAAATACCCCTGCAGGAGTCTGTATAATCAAGACTGTATCTGGATTTGGAGCCCTGAAGCAATAATCACAACAGCATTTATCAGTAAAAAGATAATGAGGCGTTGTTAACCTATAGAAAATCCAGTTAAAGCTTTTAACTTCTATACCTGTGATATGCACAGTAAGAAACCATCTTCGTCATTTGTTTTCCATTTTTCTCAGAGCAATGCAACTGCAATTTAAGGTGCATACATGAAAAGTTCAGGAAGTTATGGACTATGGATGTTGACTTGTGTATGTGTAATGCAAATAAGTTCCCAGATGGCAAAATAGTAGGATGCTATCACATCCCTATATGTGCAAAAAGAACAAATAACAAATGAAAGTAACTCTCTCACCTCCATGCGATAACCAGCCCGTGAAGCACACATAGCATGGTAATAAGTTGAACATTTGCAGCATTGGGTGCATGACCCATGTATCTGCTTACAAATGACACAAATCTGAAACGCCCAAAAGCAAAACATGTTCAAATTTCCATAAACAAATTTGCCAATGCAAGTAAATTAAATACCATGTATAGATCATATCTCAGACAAAAATAAGTTATATCACTGATACACAACACATGTTCTATGACTATACTACAGGCACTATACAAATTATATAGTTCACAAAGCTGAAGATCAAATGCTGGATTGATTTGTACCTTCACAAAAGAATTTGAAGGAATACATAAAATCCCAAGAGCCGGCTCCATCTTTTCATCACTAGCAAAAGAAACTTCAGGTCGAAACCAAGCACATGTAACATGGACCCACAGTGTCTGGACATCAGTTGGCTTCAGAGCACCGCCTAGTAAATTCCACAAATCATGAATACCAAGAAAAATATCAGAGTCGAAAGTAAAATGGAACAGAGTGATGCAGGCAGAACTAGGACATTTGCAAGCAAGAAAACCTAAAAAAATGACCTCTCTCAGTGCTGATAATAAGACCAAGACAGGGAAAACTAATTCACACTGATTACGAGCATGCTACAGGTACCATGTTGCACTATGAACTTCAAATCCATAAACTCACTGACCTTTGACAGGACAAAGGCAACACTCTCGCTTAATTTCAGGAGTTTCACATGCTTTACAAACCCATGAAGTAAAATCCTGTACATGCCTTGCTCCATAACATTCCTGATGAACAGCTATCTGACATCTGGTATACATGCAAAGAAGGAGACACATATCAATCACACTGTTAGTTCCCATACTTTCATTAATATTATATCTGTGTTTAAGCCAAACATCTGATTAGCCAGCCAGCTCGTCAGATTTAATCTTAAATTCTTAATAGCAAAAGCAGTTAAAGCAGGTATATCAGACAAAAATATCATGGCCCTAGCAATAACAAGCATGAGATTGTATAGCCTCTACTCTTAATATGAACTACAAACATGTTCATGAAACATAATGAGCATGCATTGATCTATTGTACTCCCTCCAACAGAGACAGAGTACTAGGCAAAGACATACCTGTTACAGATAATAATTTTGTTGTAGTCCCAATCTTCAACCCATCTACATACAGCACAACGTTCAGTTGTCCACTTGGCATGAACAGGCTCATATTTCTCTGTTGGATGTGCAGAACAGCATGACCATCAATCAAGTACCGAATTAGAGAATCCAATAAAGGCTAATAAGAGTGTTTGCAAGGTCTCCCAGATGCAACAGGAAATACCTTGCAGAAAGGCCAGCAGTTTCTGCTTCCGCTCTTTAATGGAAGGCTTTTTTGAAGGTTTAGTTGATACAGTGCGTGCGTGATACTCTGCCAACTGCATCATCTGCAAATTCAGGTGACTTAGTGAGAAAATTGGAAAGGAAGCACAAATCACTTTGGACAAAGAGAGATACATGTTTGTCAAATGATCAAAGAATCATTATACATATGGATCCAGACTCACCCATTGTTCTAAAGGCAGCATGGAATCTTTGACCCTGATGCTGGTCCTCCAATTTCTAATTTTCGAACCCGTGTGCCTCTCCCATTCACTCAGCGGTTGTTTCTCGGTCCCACAGGTTCCACATTTGCAGATAACCCTACAACATGAAAGTTATACAAACAGCTAAGTGAAAAAAGAGATGCCGACATGTGAAGGCCAACAAACTCCCCCACCAGAATCCAGAACAAGCAAATCAGACAAAGATACAAAATCAAATTACTAAAACAGCTTTCTCCATAGCATAATGAATTTCTCTAATGCCATCTAATGCTCCTTCAAAGCTACTACACACAATATTGAGTTTTGACCATTAGCTTTTAGAAACAGAAAAGAATTGAGAACACCAACAAATTGCGTACATGTGGAAGCTTGGGTAATATATGCCTTCTACACCGGAACATATTACAGAAACTTTGTTAGGTGGAGGTTGTTTCCCGATACTCGACCTGCAAAATGGGCTCAAGACTTGAATATTTGAACATCCCAGAATTCAGGAAATTTTAGAACCCAAATGAACAGCTTACTTGGATTTTGGCTCACATCTTTCTGAATCAGACAATTCAAAATTAAACTTTGCTTGGCAAGGAGGACAGTAATAATCAGTTGCCCCCAGGTCCTGCAATTGAAGCATTGGTCCAGAGAATTAGAAGCTTCCTTTGGTGTTCCCATTGTGTCACAGGGAAAAAAATAAAATGCTCAAATGAGGATAATGCCAAGTAACAATGATGATACGTTATAGAAATACCTTAAATCGATTTCTAGAAATTTTATCGCATTTTGCATGAACCCAAACCTTACACCCATCGCATCGCACCTACTCAGAGTGGACAGGAAAAAAGAGATTATAGCTGTGCAAACAAGGAGAAGCAAAAAGGATACCACATAAAAAATTACTCACCCAGCTCCCACTATCTGAATGGTTCCAGAACTTTTTACATATTCCGCAGCAATGTTTTGACTTGGTTAACTGCAACAAATTCTGAAGTTACAACAACCACCATGAAGCAAGCTAGGTTTTCAGAAGACTCATAGACAACATCTGTAGTTCTCACCCTGGCACATGTTTTGCATAAGAGTTGGCCTCCTGGACTTGGAGATTTTGTATTCTTCGACAATTTAGGAGACAGATAAATCCCACATCCTTCACAAGACCACTTATTCTTCTTCTTCATGAACATCACCTAGAGTAACAAAGAAAATTGAAAAGCTCACACGTCAATTAGACGCACATATTTATTTAAATTGAAGTTGGAACCCTCACACGAGACTCCATTCCCAACAACCTCAGACACGTAGAGTTGGGTCCACTTGATTCTGTTCTTGTACTAAGGTCTAGTGAAATGTTTTCAACAGAATCCGATAAGGAAATATAATGACACAGACCCAATAGGAAACACCTTTCAAGTTATAGATCCAACCATCCCCTTATGACTGGTGTATTGACAACAGAGTACTGACTAATTACAATGCAATCATTTAATCATGAGTCATGACGTATAATCAATTCTTTAACTCCAGAGTACTGACTACTCAGGAAATCCAAACATCTCTAAAACAGAAAATAGGGACAATGGTTATAAAATAGTGGGACGTTTTGTTCTGATATGCAGCATACTTGCTGATAGCCAGGAAAAGCTTCAGGGATAAAACACAAAGATGAAGGAAGACGATGCTGTCAGACAAGGATATCAGGATACTTGCCTGGTTTGGGGATTGAGAATCCTGATATTGGTTTGAACCGCTAGCCTCTTGTAACCATCTTAATGCCGGTTCATCACAAGCGGTATTTCCAGCTATCAGATTTATTTCCTGCATCAACTTCTCTGTAAATCCCTGTTCTACCATGAACGCTTCCTCGATTGCCATCTGGAAATCGCTGGCTTTGTAGTCATTCAATGGCTGCTTCTGGAACCTGTATTAAGCAAAAGAAGGGCTTAAAATTTTCCAGATCTTACATAAGAAATCCTGGAACCGTTGAATAATAAATAATCTACAACACCTGTCAACAAAATCCATAAATGGAAAGATCATGCCTCTCTTCACCCAAGCATAATCCTGGTGAAGATCAGAAAGCACAAGTATTAGTCAGCATATCAGTCAAGGAACAGCAAACAAACAAGCCGGCTCGGATGAAAAAGAGTGATTAGTTCATACCCTTTGATCGTCCCCAGAATAGCCCAAAAACATTAGACAAGCTGCGTCAGGTATACAAGACCTTAGAACCAGCTCCGGTGCCTGAGTCATGGGGTCAATCACAATGCCCGGCCAAAATGGGTCCATCGTCCCTGCCTTTGCCCAGACAATATCACCGGAGTAGAAGTCCTCAGGCCCAAACAATCCGTCTTTCTTCTTATACCTCTCTGCGCTGCCAGTTACAGCAACGATTCCACATTTGTCATCGTCCGGTAATTGCTCATGCAGCGACGTTAGTGTACTTCGAGAACTGGAATACTTTTTCATGTCGAAGCTTTTGTACTCCACTTCTAGACTGTCTTCTTCGTCAAACAGAGTAACCGCTCCTTTACTACTGTGGAAATTAGTAACCCTGTCGTAATTCCGCTGGTTTCTGGCATTACTAGCAACTATCCTAGGAGTTTTCGAGCTGAACTTTACTCTCTCTTTCAACTTCCTACTGGTACTGGCATCACATTGGACAACATCATCCTCCAAGCTATCATCCTGCAAACTAGTACTAGCCTTCTCCTCTTTCCTCCAATTCTCAATCACTGAATCGTTAAACCGGGAAGGGAGTACCTGAACCCGGCCTCTGGACGTCCGGACAACCGGGGGTCGTGAAACCTCAGCCGCCGCAGCCCGGCTACTTCCTCCGACGGCAACCGGAACCTCCAATTGCGAGTCTGACTCCAACTCCTCCTCACCGGGCGACGAGCACGACACCTCGGTGCACCACGAAGCCGCAAAACCTCCTCCCCTGTGACCTCCGCCGAGAATCCCACGGAATCCGTCAGGAATCACGCCGTTGGCGACCTGGCCAAGGAAATTGAGCGGGCAGTATCCATCGCCGCCGAGCTTCCTCTTCTTCTTCCGCGACGAAGCCGAGGTATCGTCCGGCTCACACCCCGACTCCTCGAGTTTACACCGCTTGAGACTCGGCATTCGCGATTTCAAGTCCCGCTTGATTATCATCCCTCCTCCTCCTCCTCCGCCGCTGCGGCGGAGCCGCCGAAAGAGAGAAAAAGCGCGCAAAGAGAGAGTCCTCTCAATCGCAGAGCACAATAACCAAATTCAACGACCGCGCATTTCCAAATTCGAACGAGCTAGAGAAACGAATCTCCTCTCCCTCTCACTGGTCTCACATTCACCGGAACCCTAATTCGAAACGAATTCCACGAACGGAAACGATGCAACAGAGAGACAAAACGATGCGACAGAGAGAGAAGTCGTCGTACTTATCCACGAACGCGAAGGAAGCAAGAAAACAGAGCCACAATCAGGAACGAATCGCGATGGAGGAATGAGGCGGAACGAAGAGGAGAACCTGTACGAACCGGTAGCGCGGAATGAGAAATTGCAGGCCCGAAAAAAAAAAGAAGAGCGAACCAGAGATCTGTCTCCCCCTCTCTCTCTCTCTCTCTCTCTCTCTCTCTCTCTCTCTCTCTCTTATCTTTCTCTCTCTAACTCCCCGCTCGCAACAACAGAGTGAAAAGAAAGACGGGGAAAATAAAACACGATAAAATTTTTATTAATAAAAACATAAATGACTCATTAGTCATTACTCATTCGCCGCGAGCGATTATAAACAAAAAAAAATGAATTGCTGGAAAAAAATTGGAGCGAAATTCCCTGCCGGTGAGCGGGAACGGGACGATACCGTAACGTGGCAATGGGGGCCGACTTTCCCAAAGTTCATCCAAACAAATATTTAAGCAATCGCTCCAAAGTCGTGTTAACGCGTGCCGATATCGTTGGATGAGAAAGATTAAAGATTGCGTCGAGCAGTCGACAGATTCCGGGTCGAAGGTACGGTGTTTGGGAGCAGAAGCTTTTGTGTTTGGACGCCATTTTTGGGGATGGCGGGAGCTTGAATGGTTTAGAGGTGTACAACATAACACTGTTGGTTTGGACTTTAAACAAAAGAGACAACTTTTTAATGTGCCTATTTAGTAAGGGAGGGGTAGAGTGGGTAATTCGGTCTGTGTCCGTGAGGACCGTGACTTCAGATCGATTTTTTCCGGTGAGAAAGAACTGGTTTGTCTCCGGTTAACCGGATCTAACCGGCGGTGCGTCGAGTATTTATCGGTGGCTAGATTTAGCTTGTTGGGGTTGCTTTTTTGTTTAGTTAGTTTGGTGGGTGTCAGTAGCCGGAGTCTTTCCTACTACGGAGAAAAGCGAAAGATTGAAGTTGAAGCCACATGAAGGTGAAACGTGAAGCTTTGCTGATTGAATCAAGTTTGAGTTTGGGTTCAGGACAGGACAAATAAACCCTTCATTACATTGGAGTTTTAACCGGGAGATTCAGATTTTATTCCGTGCGCGAATCAAATTATTTACGGTAAGAAACGAAAAAGTTCATAAAATTTTATCTTCGCTCGAACATAATTAGTTGGTAAATGTCTTTTATTTAATTTAGATCGTGTACTAATTTGACTTATACTTTTGATGTCTCGCTTGATTTTGTCGAACACGCTGATGACATATATTCAACTCAGATACACATTATAGCCTTAATTTTACCGGTTGACTTAAGTATATGTTAATTATATTATATCTTTCAAATTTCGAGTTGTTGACTCAGATACATCTATTTATCAAATGTCCCGATTTTACTCTTTGGCGGTGTATTTTCACCCCAAAGAAAATAAAATGAAGAACATTTTTGGTCATTACATAAATAAAACAAATGCATATAACAAGATCGATTACAAATCTGCCCTTCCTCCTTCCGTCTTATTCCACACCATCCACAACCATATATATACGAACTTTCTACTACACTTAAACAGCCAAATTCCTGGTCTACAGATTCGAGGTAATCACAGAGGCTGAATCAATCAAACTACTAAACTCTCTCTTTTTGGCTTTTCCTTGCTGGGGCGGAAGTAAGTTTATTCCAACACCAAATACCTAGCTTCTCTTTTTCTTTTTCTCCATTGATTACAGATTAGGCAGCCCTTACTACTACTACTACTACTACTTAGTACTTAGATTTTTCCCCTCAATAGGGACTAAAAACTATTTCATACCTACACTTTCTTCAACTGGTTGGTTTCCTTCATCAGCAGCAGCAAGGTTAGCTAGAGATGGTCACTGCTGTTGTCCTTTGATCACATCAGATTCTTCTGTCTTGGCAAACCTTCCACGGATCCTCGGCTGGCTGTCTGCTAAGGCCTTCCTGCAGGCATACTGAAGAAAAAGAAAAGCCAAAAACAACATGTGGCTGAGTTTCAATGGTGGAGAGCTACAGAACAGTCTGCTCGCAGTATTTGATCAAACAAGAAACAGCTGGTTGATAGGATGAATTTACCTTGATCTTCCTGCCAAAGTTCCTCTTGTTCTTCTTGTTTCGGTACCTCGAAAGCTTTTCCATCCGGGCTTCAGAAGTGGAGTTGCTGCTAATGAGCAGTGGTCGCGGAGAATGGGTGTGACCCACGCTTCCATTTCCAAGAGCCTGCCACAGAGAAATATGGTATTAGAGTAACTGAAAAGGAAAGAGCCATATTCTGAATTTATCGTCTATGCTGCTATGCATATAACTTTGTCCGCCTTTCTGCAGCAGTTATGCTTGGAATTTTTCCAGGAAGAGTTCAGGTTATCCTTTCAACCAAAAGGCCCATGTAAACTCCGGTTCATTGTAGGCAATTAGGCATCAGTCGATCCCATCAGCTGATCTCCAGTAGCCAACTTCTGAATGAATAGATCGTTCTAACTTCCAAATTCCAACTGATGTGAAACCCACTTAGTCATTTCACGCAACTCACAATTGTTAACAATTTGATCTATCCTATAAAAAGTCAATAAATTGTGAAACCCTTAATCATTTCACAATTGTCCAGTCATTCTAATAGTTTTTTTCTCATACACCTCCACTTCTGCTATTTACTCTAGTTGACACTTATTTCAGCTGAATTGAAGCTCATTCATCATCACTTATCAAGACAAAAGAAGTGACGAAAAATATCTGTTACCAACAGTGATCCTTTAGTTCTACAGTTCTAACCTAAGGGATTGGCAAACCTAACTCTTACTAGTTCATGAAAACAAGAATATAACCATACAATGCAACAGGGCAATATAATGATACTGATAAAAAGAGACCATTCTGTCTTCGTTTACCTTGATATCACCTTCGCTGAATGCTCTTCGCATCCCATAAGCAGAACTAAAATCAATCCCAGGGAAGTCCAGGAAACTAGGCTTCACGGAACCTCCAGGTATCCAATCCATCGCACTTAGACACTCCGAGCTCGCACTCTTTGACAACCCTAGATCAGGGACCAACTCATGGTCTTGGACCTGTTTTTCATTGGTTCTCAAGAGAGGGGACTTGATATCCAGAACATCCGAGAGCGGGGAGTCTATTGCTGCTGCCATTTCCATGAGGTCTTTCTTGCAGTCGTAGAAGACATCGCTGAGAAGCTGCTGGTTTTGAATGTCGTCAATGCCAGCAGCCATCCCGAGTCCAGATGGAGTAAGGACTTCTTCCCCACAAGATATCATGGAAATGGCTGCTGTCATCGGATCAAGGCCCATGATTGGCTCCTCGATGATCGGTTCTGGTGCTTTGAATAGATCCCCTCCCAGGTCATATTCGTATATGCTTGAGGATGAGATCAGGTTGCTCTACAATAGACAAGAAGGAAGAAAACAAATTAACCTTTGATAGTAGAAAACTGGGTTTGATTTTAATGCTGACTACACAATTTCAACAATCTTGTTGGCCTCCAAAAACTTGGCTGCAATTTAAAAGATCAAACAGTATCCAGAAGGCCAATAAGGAACTAACAAGTTTGTGATCCATATTCAGACAAGTATCTGAGAAGTAAAGAAAATACTTATCACTAAAACCGATCACATATCAACGAAAGGACAGCTTTAACCCTCTCAATCATCCAAACTGCCATACACCAGAAATGAAAACGATCATAAACATCCAATCAAGCAGCTGAATTCTCGTATCCCTTCCTCTATCAGCTCCTCTATGGGTTTAGATTCATGAAAGGTCAAGGGTAACAAAACCCACCATTAAACTACAAAAGGAAGGATAAACAACTGAAAACCCACAAGTACGGCCACTCTATACTGCTGAAGGGCGGACAGTAAAACAGCTGAAACAGTGACCTCTAAACACTTGAACATGGGGGCTAAAGCAAAATTGAAGAGCAGCCCCTTTCAAGAAGGAGGAAACCATGGTTTCACCCATGTCTGTCCTTTTAGCAAAGCTTGGTTAGTTGGTTTCCACAAATTAAAGCCAGACAGGCAAACAAAGATGGAGATAAGTTTCCTCTTTTGGGATTTTCCAAACTTTCCCCTCCCTTCCTTTCTCTGTAAACACGCTTCTGGGTGGGCGTGAATGTTTTCATAAAAGCAAAAAGGCAGGAAGAAAAACCAAACTACTGGTTCACATCACACAATGAAGAGAAGGGAGAAAGAAATGGAACAAAGCTTAAAGAACACGGAGCTTCGGACAGCGAAATCACTTTCCTACTTTGTAGTTTGTACTCCCCTCTTCCTCTCCTTTAAGCTTTCCAGATCCAATTGGGATATAAAAGCGAAATTCCCTAGTTTCCATTTTAGCTCAATGGTTTCAGGTGCTCGGAAACATTGCGAAGTGAGACAAAGAAAGCAAAGCACAGAACGAAGCCCTCCATTTCAACACAGGGGAAGTGGAAAACCTAGTCAGCAATGGTGTAAAGATTTTTGTCCCCTTTACCAAACCCTGAAGATCTGTAAAACTGATGAACCCTTCCTACACACAACTCAAGCCAAATCAACACCGACCCCAAGTGAATCCCAGCTGAATTCTTCACAACCCATTTCTCAGATATCTCAACAGAGCACAAAAAAACCAAAAAGAAACAGTAAAAAATAACAGAGGGGTCGTACCATTGAAGCATTGTCCTCCTGGTGCTTGCAGTACTCCTCGAGTTGCTGGTAATCTTGGGAGTAGTTCTGCAAATAGGGAAACA